TATTTCTTTGTTCACTTAGAGAACTGGCCAGGAATTCTCATGTCCTGAGCAGTGCGTCAGTTTGTCAGTAGAGGCTTCATAGACACAGTCAGTGGGTTAAGATTCAGATGTTTTTGATAATAACTTAGCAGTATTTCAGTAGTTACTACGAATAAAGTTTTGGAGTTGNACTCCTTAGAGTCATCTTTATTTAGCTATTTCTTTGTTCACTTAGAGAACTGGCCAGGAATTCTCATGTCCTGAGCAGTGCGTCAGTTTGTCAGTAGAGGCTTCATAGACACAGTCAGTGGGTTAAGATTCAGATGTTTTTGATAATAACTTAGCAGTATTTCAGTAGTTACTACGAATAAAGTTTTGGAGTTGATTTATTTTAAATATTTAAATTAATCAAAAGTATTTGGTTAAAGTATTGCCTTGTTGCATATAAAGTTTGAAGTTATAATAGATTTGATAAGCACAGATGGTTCGCTCGGTCATGTTTAGTGATCGGGTGCCGGTCACGGCTTGTTCAGAAAATGGGTCATGACACCGACAACACACGATTATACACATATTATATATGAACTATATATAAATTATATATCCTTCAATTTTTTTTTAATTTAAGTGGTTGAGTGAGCACCTATTTAGGTTGATTAGATAAAGCCAAAAGAAAAATATGAAAGAATCAACTAAAGACTAAAAATAGAAATAAATTTCTTATGTAGACTTTTCTATTAAAACTCATCCATTTACAGCGAAATAAATTATTTTTTTGTAAAAAAAGAAAGACATAAAAAATAATATAAAAGAAAATAAATATAGAAAAAATATATGGAAAATCTAATAACCAGAAATAAGAGATGACAACGAATTGTTTCTTCTGTTTCATCTTTGTTGAGTATAAAAAATTTGGAAGCTGATCTCATCGATTTCAAATATATTTTTCAACTCAAATAAAAAAATTCTAAGATAAGTATATCTTAGAATATTGTTTTTAATTTACATAGTGTGTTGTTTTAAAAAATAATTACTATCACTAACAAACTGATATGATATTCGAATCTGAATTTAAATGCAATTTGAGTAGTTTGCATTGACGTTAAGCCAAGTATGGTGTCAAAAAAAAAATTACTTGGAAATTTTAAGATAATATATGCAATGTTATATAATAACAATCAATTAATTAACATGTAACAATGCAACGAACAAAACCTATTCAAAATTCAAAATATGTGGCTAGAGACATTATTAAACTCAAGATAGAGTCATACTGAAATAAAGTTTCACCGGCTAAAGCATCATTTAAAATTTTAGATAGCCGATTAAAGTGTTTTTTAAATTGAGGATAATATCTTCACTTGCATCATTATAAAGATAATCATTATTGAAATATATATAAAGTTTTAGAAATTGAATTCAAAATAGAAATATTTTTTTGAAAGAAAATAACATACCAAATAAGAGTTCAAGTCGTAGTAAAAGAGTCACGTCGTAACCAAAGAGTCGTTCATATTGTGTCAACCTTTGTGCTTTGCTATAAATACAAGTTATTATTTCGCTTCATAATTATTTTTATGTTCCAATGAGAATGGTGTGGAAAACAAAATTATCACTACGACATTTGAGAAAATATTAGTCTTTTTTCACGTAGTGTTTCTTAATTAATATCGAACGATTATCTATAATTATCTAGAAGGTTTAATTTTAAGTCTATTTACATATAATTCAAATAACTCAAATATTTAACATGGTTAGTGTCAAATATCAAAATGGAGTCAGACTGGAAAAAATAATTCACTGGCTAAAGAATTATTTAAATTTTTAGATAGCCTGAGTTTTGAATTAAGTATAATATTTTCACTTACATTATTATAGAAATAATTATTATTGAAAAATAAAGTTTTAGAAACTGAAATTTTAAAATAGAAATAATTTTTGAAAGATATCAACACACCAAATAAGAGTTCAAGTAGTAGTAAAGAGTCAAGTCGTATCCAAAGAGTCCTTCATAGTCTTAACATTTGATTGTTTTGCCATAAATATGAGTTACTATTTTGTTTCGACTATTTTTACGATCCAATGACACCGGAGAAAATGATACCAAAAAAGAAAATAGAATTATAACAAGGAGATTTGAGAAATGGTTAATCTTTTTCATGTAATGTTTCTCAATTAATATTCAATGATTATCTATATTTATCGAGAACGTTTAAATATTAAGATTATTTATATAAAATTCTAATAACTCAAATATTTGATATGATTAACATCGGTGCGAGTGCTAATATTAATAATGTATTTAAAGATACATGTCATATATTCATTATATCATTGGAATCATATGCCGGTGATGACAACGTAAATCCTACTCAGAAGGTCAATAGGACCCATCACCCAAAAATAATCAAGATTAGTTTACCTTTGATCAACTGCCTGTGTTCTGACACGTAATTCCTTTGACTCCGTAATCTCAAAGGAACCTATTACCAGAAAGAAACAAAAACCTCATCATGTGTTATTACCGTATTGCTTAAAGCGAATCTTGTCTTCCCTAATGAATCGGAGCTAGAATTTTTGTTAAGGGGTGTCAAAATATATAAAAGTAAATATATCAAAAAATTAAGGTGAGTCAATACATAGTATATACATAGAGGCGGAGCTAGGAATTTAAGTGTGTGGGTTCTAAATTTTAAAATAAAATATTACTTCTAGGGGGAATCGAACCCCCATCTTTTCCAACGAATCCACAACCTTTACCGTTGAACCAAAACCCTTTTTATTATTGGGTTCAGCAATATATATTTATATAGATTTAGTAAATATTTTAATACAAATACAGGGTTCCGAAAAAAGTTACTGGGTTTATTCGAACCCGTACCCATAACTATAACTCCGCTCTTATATATACACATATAATTTATTTTTTTATCTAACTACATAATGTATTTTGTTCGCGAAGGGATATCATTTTACACATCCGCCATTCACAGTGGCGGTGTGGGTAAGGCACAAGAAAAGTAGAGGTCACAAAAATCAACTACACCAGCTGTTACTTCATTCTTAGTCCTCTCCAAAAGTTGCAATTTTTAACATGGACATTAATTAAATCAAATGGGGTATTAACTTAGAGTATATTAAAGGCTATTAAAAGAAAGCTTAAGGAATATATTTTGTACCCAACAATCCCAAGAATCGGTCCTTTTAAGCCTGGAACTGGTCAGACTAACCATGTGAAAGTACTATCAACTTTACCTGGTACTCCTCTTTCAACTTTTAGCTGAGTATTTCCTTTCTTGAATATCTATGAATCTTGATGACCCTTATTAGAATTAAATATTCGGTTTTGCAAATCATCAAGATTCATGTTTTTCTTTTTTTCTCAATTTGGGTTTGGTTTTTCTTGTTCAGTAGATCATAAAAGGTAAATATAATCTGTTTTTCAGCTGACAAAGTTTTTTTTTTTATGGCTTTTTTTAATTCTGCAGCTAATGCATGTCTGATAAATCTTGCTTCCTTATTTTTCTTTGGTATTGCAGGTATATATTAGCTTCTTCTGCAGTATAAAAGCATAAATTCTGGTTAAAGATTCAAACTTTATGGATTTTAGGAGCTAAATTTAGGTGGTGAAAAATCTCAACTTTACCCATTTTGGTTCTTGGAAAACCTTGAGGGGTTTATGGAAGTAGTTAGTGCCTGCTGAATTTGTGTGAATGAAAAAGCAGATACTAATTTTTCTTATATCAGTATTGTTGGCATAAATCTCTTTAGCTTAAAAAATGTCATTGTTTCTTGAAAAGAGCATGCTAGCATCCAGGTTTCTATCTTGTTTAATAGCTATTTCGGTTTTCGTTTTGGTAGTTTCTTCATTGTCCCTTCTTCAATTTGCTGACAATTCTTTCATACCAAGATCAGTGTTTAGGTTAATTCTTGTTAATACTACTTCCCTTTACTCGACCTCGAGTGTCACAAGTGGAGAATCTAAAACCCCTTTCTTGACCCCTGAAACTTCTTCTGAACAAAGCTTGAAAAGCCAAGAGGTAGCGTGTCAAACATCCAGTTCCAGCAACAGTTCAGCTGGAGTAGGAGTTAATAAAGCTTGTGACGCGAAACAAGCTCTTCTTAGGGTGTATATGTATGACTTACCCCCTGAATTTCACTTTGGGCTATTAGGTTGGAAAGGAAGTGGGAATGAAATGTGGCCTAATGTTGGTATACAGGGTCAAGTACCCTCATACCCTGGCGGCTTAAATTTACAGCATAGCATCGAATATTGGCTTACACTTGACCTTCTATCGTCAAATATACCAAATATTACTAGACCATGCACTGCTATTAGAGTGCAGAATTCAAGTGAAGCCGATGTGATTTTTGTGCCTTTTTTTTCGTCTTTGAGTTACAATCGGCATTCTAAGCCTCATGGGAAGGAGAAGGTAAGTCTAAATAGAATACTACAGGATAGAGTGGTGGAATATTTAAGAAGTAGAGATGAGTGGAAGTTAAAGGGTGGGGCGGATCATCTGATTGTCGCTCACCATCCCAATAGCATGTTGGTTGCAAGAAAGAAGTTGGGCTCGGCCATGTTTGTCCTTGCAGATTTTGGAAGGTACCGAGCTGAAACAGCAAACATTGAAAAGGATGTGATTGCTCCTTACAAACATATGGTCAGGACATTAGATGCTGAGAACTCGCCCTCTTTTAGACAGCGTGATATATTGGTTTATTTCCAGGGGGCAATTTATAGGAAAGATGTAAGTTGCATATCTTCTTTTGCCTGCATTTTATATTGTTGCTTGTGTTGCTATTTTCAGGGCAGATAAAGTTAAATCTATATCTAACTATAACATAGCCTGCATTTAGTCGGTGCACCCCAATCTACTTAACAGCAGCGAAATTTGAGTACTATTGCCAGATAAATTTCTACATATCCTCTTATTAATTATGGTAAAACCTTCACTGGAAATTACGAAATCAATTTGAAAGAATAAAGTAGCAGCAGTTTTTCATTTCAAACCTTTGTCGTCCTTGAATCCCCTATGCTACTTAAATTGTTCATGGTTCACAAATAGCATGCACCATAATATTCTCTTGCCTGGTACCTCCAGACAATAGCCGTTTCTATGTTGTAATATTGGAATAGTTGAGGACGTACAGCATTTAAGAGAGGAACTGAAATTATTTCTTTCTTTCTATCGCTCAAGTATAACAGATTTCTCTCTTTTTCTCCTTTTTTGTTGACCTTTATTAATATGATGATAACCTACACATACCCTACCACCAACCCCTTCCCCCGGAGTCAACGTTGGCCATTCCCCATTTTACTCCCTTGGTTCTCTTTTATCCAAATATGATAGATTATTAAGATTTGAATATCGTGTTTGGAATTTGGAAGATGTCATGGATTTAATTGTTTTAATAGTTTCAGGACATTGTAGATCTAATTTAGTTCTAAGGTTATCAAAGAAATTCGGGAAGAATCCCATGATGAGCTGTTGGTACTGTCAGTAGCTCCTCAAGAAAGAAGAGATATAGGAACAGAAGAAGCCAAACAGAAAAATGAAGTTATTTATTATGATTTTGAGATGTCACTTGAGTAACAAAACTGTGATTTTCTTGTAAACGTCATTTTCAAGCTTGAGAATAGGAGCTTGATCGTTATGCTGTTGACCTGAAGTACATGATGTCATTTCTTTGCTTATATAATACCAGGGTGGAACAATCCGTCAAGAATTATACTACCTTCTCAAGGATGAAAAAGATGTACACTTTACCTTTGGGAGCATCAGATCAAACGGCGTCAGGGAGGCTGGACGAGGAATGGCCTCTTCAAAATTCTGCCTGAATATTGCTGGAGACACTCCCTCTTCCAATCGCCTATTTGATGCCATTGCTAGTCACTGTGTTCCTGTAATAATTAGCGATGACATTGAGCTACCATTTGAAGATGTTATAGATTATTCCAAGTTCTGCATTTTTGTCCGTTCTTCAGATGCTGTAAAGAAGGGTTATCTTCTGAACTTTCTTAGAGGAATCAAGGAGGATCAATGGACCAAAATGTGGAAAAGGCTAAAGGAGCTCACCAAACATTTTGAATACCAACATCCATCCCAACCTAATGATGCAGTGGATATGATTTGGCAGGCAATTTCAAGAAAATTGTCATTTATACAACTCAAGGCTCATCGCAACAACAGATACCATAGTTCACAGCTGTTCCTCAAGGACCGCTAGTTCTAATAGGAGATCAGCTGCGAGGTCAGGCTCGATTCTTTAAGAAGGACTTGCACTATGAATATATTTAACTGTTTTGTTGCCATTCTTAACAACTCCTTGTATATTATTTTCATTATGAAGTTGCATATACAAGTTTATGGCTCTTGGATTGTTCTCCGGCAGAGATGTTTTATTTACAACCAGAATATTACCATTGATGTAAATGGAAATTAACTCACATGCAGAGTGATGCTTTGTCAGCAGAGAAAAAATGAAACCAACAATAGACAGTCTTGACAATATGTTACTATCGTAAGCATATGCATGAGATGAAGAAAATTGCGCAGTAGAAAAAGGTTCAGAAAATTCAATGTAATTCATCATACGTGCAAGAATTGCTGATGTTTGAAAGTAACTATTATGAGCATGGATATATTTTTCTATTTTGCTCTTGTTCTAGCTTTACATAGCATATGAAGTTCTGCATGCACAAGAGGTGATGATGAGTTTAACCAACCTATATAGTTGAAGATAACATTTGCTTATTCATGGCAGCAAGATTGAAAATCCTAATCTATCTGACAAGAAATATGAGGTTCTGCATTCTTTCATCTTCTGCTTTGAATAAAGACTGATATTCAAACAAAAAAACAATGATAAGTTTAACAAAACCTATGTAGTGTAAGATAACATTCTGTTGTGTATCACAATGAGCATGACAAACCTAATCTATTTGACTATGGTTCTTGCTTTACATAACATATGAAGCTGCTGGCTGCCCTCTTTCATCGTCTGCTTTCAAATAATGACTTATACTCGAACAAAATGTTCTGATGAAAAAAGAAGGCAGCCATTTCCTTCTTTGCTCTTGAGTATTGTTATGGTTTCATCTTTGCATACTCTGCGAAGATCGTCAACACCTATTGTGGATGGGGTCTGATCCTTTTTTCACACTTCTTTTGCTCGATTGATTTGGATCAAACGTTATTGCAGGGGCAGGCGCTATATTCAGCTGTGTGTGTAGATCCTGCATGTCAACAGCCTTTAGAATCCGAGAACTTCTGAGAAAAAACAACTTGCCTTCTCCCCATCTGAGAGCAATATCTATACTTCCCAGAGCAGAAACCATCTTTGGTTGAATATTTAAGAACCCAATACAAAGAATTAGAACCATCACCTTACAGGAAAAACAGCACATATTTCTTCACTTAAAGAGGAATAGAAGAGAGAATAAGTGCTTTGTCTGTGGCTATACTCTTGCATTATATCTTCCTAAGGAATTTATATATAAACTTGTGTGTCATCTTTAATGGGATTTGCAAAACTAAAGGTACTAAAGCAGGGAGGGACCCAGGGCAAATATCTTAAGAAGTTCAAGATTCACCTCAATCATGAACCTGCTATGGAAGCAATAATATAAGGCTGTTTTAGAAGACACTGGCAGGTTTGAATAGAAAGTTAAAATTGGAACCATTCTTGGGAAGACAAGAATCTTAACATTTGTTCCCCACATCCCTATCATTTGTCTTGTTCTTTTGGACCAAACAATGACCAATCCAGTCTGTTTGAACTTTATGCCAACTCATCTGCCACCTCATCAGATTATGCTCACGGCTTGCTTGCTCTTGATTTTTGAACCTCTTAGCATTTTAGCTTTGCTAACATGTTCAGCTAATACATTACTCCCTCCGGTCCATTATAAGTGATCTTTTAGCCTTTTTATTTTGTTCTATGCTATTTTTATTTTGAAATGAAATGGCTTAATTGCGAGAACATAAGTTTTGAGGCGGCAAAAGAATGAGAATAACAACAGTTGCAAGAAAGGCAGATAAAGTAGAGGTATTGGACAATGGGAGGAATAGAAGCCTCTTCTAAAAACAAGACAAATCCAAGGACTTGCTTTATGACTACTCTTACTTTAGAATTCCAAGCTCTTCTCTCCATGCATCAAAATTGACAGTCTTGGTTTCTTGTGCTTAATGGTTTCCCTTTATGCCCCTCTTTTTGTTCCATCTTTAGTAAAGGTTTTGCAGCCTCACCTTATTCAAAATTGGTAATTTTGGACCTCCAACTCATTCTTCTCATTCTTCTGTACTTCTCCAACACACACACAGACTCACACACCAAACAACATGTTGTCTCTTTATTTCTTCTTGCTATCATCTTTTTTCTTCCTTTCCCTTTTTGTTTTATTAAATAATAAAAAGTGGAGTAAATATCAATTTCGGACAAGTTTCAAAATTGAGATAGTCCTAGACCCATATTCGCTCATAAACCGATTTGTGATATTAGTTTGATGCCATCGCAAAAAATCCTACATAAATCACTTATATACCCAATCGAGTTTAAGTTAAACGAATAATTCTTCAAATGTGGTGTACTCAAAGGTGTCTTAGTCATTTGTGATCGGCCTACTAAAATATCTTCTAAGTTTGTTTCGAGTAATCCTCTTTTTGCCATGTAGTTCTCTAAAATTCAATCAATCGACTAAAACGATGCGAAAATACAAACCTGTAAGGAGAAGGGCGGCAGTAGTGGTGGTGAGGGGTGGTGGTGGAGGTGGGCATTTTGGGAAGTCGAATTAATCGGGGTCTTCATGCAAGCGACAGCACAGAAGAAGAACAACAAAGTGAGAGGTCGGAAAAAAAAAAGACCGCGTACAGATAGCATGAGGAAAGGTGATAAGAATCATATTCACATGGTGCAATAGAGAATCTGGGATTAGGGGACGCATGCACCTTGTTGCATGTGGTGTAACGGGACACCGCTTCGTCAAAATTTTTTACTAGATATGTAAGAAAAATAAAAATATTGAGGATTGTATAAGAAAAATGACACCACTTATCATTATAGTTATTTGTTCATTAGTCCACTTCTTCAAATTGTGTCATTGCTTATGAAATATTCTGCATACGCTACTGCTCATAATACAATGCAAACAATCAGTCAAAAGAGTGGAGCTTAGGGCGATCAGGAGAAGCAAAACTAAATTAGAATTTAGCCGAAAAAGAAGATGACTCCATTCTTGTGTTTAATGGGTTTCCCTTTATGCCTTTCTTTTGTTCCATCTTTAGTTTAGATTGTGCAGCCTCAGCTTATTCAAAATTGGTAACTTCAGACTACTTACTCATTCTTGACCATCTTAGGTACATCTCAACCCCCCCAAAACCAACAACCTTCTCCTCTCAATCACCTTGTGTCTCGTGGGCCATCTTTTTCTTCCTTTCCCTTTTCGTTTTTTTGGTATTTGCAATTTCAAGACTTCATTTCTCCATATTGCCCGCTTTGTCCAACTAAGAAGAATTCGTTAACTTGCACGTTGATAGGATTCTGAGATTCTCTCAAGTAACTATACGTATAGTGGCGGAGATATTTAGAAAGAGTGTCATTCAACACAAGATTTTTCCTTACGTATATGTGTGTGAAAAAAATTAATTTAACAACAAAATGAAAAATTAAAATAGATCGACTCTGGTTAAAAATAATTCAATGTAAATACAATTTTTAAGACACGAAGTAATTTTTAGAGCTCAAGGGAGATAAGGTTCTTAGATATAGGGGTCGTCTGTGTGTTCCAGATGTAGCAGGGCTACGAGACAGGATTATGTCAGAGGCACATTATTTGTGATACTCCATTCATCCTTGGTCGATAAAGATGTATCATGACATTAAGGATGCATACTTGTGGAACGATATAAAGAAGAACATTGCTGAGTTCATCGCCTAGTATCCTAGTTTCCAGCAGGTGAAGGCAGAGCATCACAAGCCCGGAGGGCTAATGCAGACTATAGAGAACCCGACGTGGAAATGGGAGGCGATAAACATGGACTTTGTCACGGGTTTACCTCGTTCTCATCGTAAGTTCGATTCTATATGGGTGATAGTCGATAGGCTCACAAAATTAGCTAATTTCCTACCAGTCAGATCTACATATATAGCAGAAGATTATGCAAAGTTATATATTAAGGAGATAGTGTGGCTACATAGAGTACCAGTATCTATTATATCTGACCGTGGGGCCCAGTGTACAGCATATTTTCGGAGGTCATTTCAGAGAGGTCTAGGGACTCAGGTGAATCTCAACACAACCTTTCATCCACAGACAGATAGACAAGCCGAGCGCACAATTCAGACGCTCGAGGATATGTTACGGGCATGTGTGTTAGTTTTCAAAAGAAGTTGGGATGAACATCTACTTCTTATCGAGTTTGCATATAATAACAGTTACCACTCTAGTATCCAGATGGCTCCGTACAAAGCTTTGTATGGACGTAAGTGTAGATCTCCTATAAGGTAGTTTGATGTTGGAGAATCTGGGTTACATGGGCCAGACCTAGTTCAGCAGGCCCTAGAGAAAGTAAAGCTTATCCGGAAGCAGCTGTTGACAGCTCAGAGTCGTCAGAAGTCATATTCTGACGTGTGGCGACGAGACTTAGAGTTCGAGGTTAATGACTGGGTATTCTTAAAGGTATCCCCTATGAAGAGCGTGATGAGGTTTGGCAAGAAAGGCAAGCTTAGCCCACGGTATATTGGGCCTTATAGGATCATTCGGAGAGTGGGCCAAGTAGCTTATGAGTTAGAGTTGCCCTCAGAATTAGAGTCAGTCCATCCGGTATTTCACGTATCTATGCTATAGAAGTGCATTGGCGATCCTACCGGAGTGGTGCCCACAGATGATGTACAAATTACGGAGGACTTTTCATACAAGAAAATTCCAGTTTTCATCCTAGACCGACAAATCCGCAAGCTACGAAATAAGAAGGTAGCCTCCGTGAAGGTTTTATGGAGAAGCAAGAATGTGGAAGAGATGACATGGGAAGCGGAGAATAAATAATGTATAAATACCCCTACCTATTTCAAACTGAAGATATGGCTCGAGATGGGATGCTACAGCACAACTCTATTCAGGCTAGTAGGTCATCAGGTAAGCTCTTATTTCTTGACTTTCAGTATTTATAATTTATGGCTGTGTGAGGCAAAGTGTTGCTATTTATAGACATTGGCCATGTATGGCATGCATAGTATGTTTTCTAGCTGCATGCAGGTTGGTTTTAGTCTAGTGTACGGAGGAGACTCTGGCAAAAATTTTCCAAAGTCTCTAAGAGTAAACATTCGAGGACGAATGTTCCCAAGGGGGGAATAATGTTACACCCTATATTTTTGTACGTAAAACTGCGTCGTGAGTAAACTAATGTAGGACCAAAAAAAATGAGATCATCTTTGAAAATATATAAAGTAAGTTAATCATGTTACCTCGGAGGTTACAAATATTGAAGATCATGAACAACAAGTACAAAGAGGGTTGGAAGGTTCAGAAGCTAAAGGAGTTAAAGAAATAATATTTCGTCGAAAGTCGACAAGTTGGGAATGTTATAGCATGTACTTTTGGTGTGAGACTAGGGTGTTTAATATAACAATGAGGTTATGTTATAAGTTATGTTAG